CATGTGGGTACTCAAATGAAAGGTTTCGATGAGTGTTACATAAGGATGAGCTTATATCTTTAAAGATTTTAATAGTTCACAAGATAACCAGGTCATTTCTTAATTATGACATTTTTTTAAGATATAAGCTCATCCTGATGTTACACTCATCAAGAGCTTTCATTTGAGTACCCACATCAATTTTTCATATATTTCATATATTCATATATATGTATATATGAAAAATATATGAAAATGCATGCGAGTACTCAAATGAAAGGTATCGACGAGTGTAACATCAAAATGAGCTTATATCTTTAAAAATGTCAATAGTTCATAAGATAAAAGGTCATTTCTTAATTATGTTTATAATTATAATTAGGCGTAAGCTGATAAGAAATAAATAAATAAGGCTTTGTATGGATCATTTGACACCTTAACACCAAAAAAAAACTCCAATTACCTTGCAAAGACTTTGATACTCTTCATTATCAGGATCATAGCAAGCAAGTAAAAACCCTCCGTAAGTCCCAGTGCGTTTTCCCTTGCCAACGTACCCGCCAATCACAACGCAATCCAAAGTATCCCCAATGCCCTCCAAATAATCCTTCTTCAACTTCAACCAATTCCTGGACCTCTTGGCAATTTCATAAGTAGCATCTTCTTCAAGAGTCTTGACCATCAGCCCTTCGCAATTGCCTTTAACCGAGACCTCCAAGAACTCCTGGACCTCCTCCATGGTCGTAGTGTCCAAACTAGTTGCAAAATACCACTCACCCTCTACCTCTTTAAAATGTTCCTTCAACAACTCCCTGCGTGTCTTAAAAGGCTTCTTGACCAGCGGCTCTCCATTAAAGTACAGCAAGTCGAACATGAACACGCAGACCTGGACCTTGATGTCAGCTTCATTGGCATCTTTCCGCTTCCTAGTGCTGAGAATCTGAAACGGAAGGATCTGCTTCTTCTCGCGGTCCCAAGCAACAGCTTCGCAGTCCAGAATGCAGCTTTGAACCTTCTCGCCCTTTGTGTTGCTCAGTCGTCCAATGATGTCCGGGTACTTGGAGGTATTGTTCTCCTGGTTGCGGCTGTAAATATATGCCTTGCCCTGGTCAGTCAGGTGAATCTGCGCCCTCTCGCCGTCGTACTTCCACTCGCACGTGAACTTCAGCCCGTCAAACCTCTTGAGTACCTCCTGGACACCTTTTGTGGGGTGAGCTAACATAGGCTTCAAAGGAACTCCAGGAGTGAGCTTGCATTTTTTAGGAAGCTCGGCTACTCCGTCCTCCAGCAAGACGGGAATTATCATTCCATAATTCGGACACTCGCAGTAAGTAGTTTTAATTATCAGCGCAATTTCATCGTACTTTTTTTTGAATTCATCACTAGACACTTTTTTACTTGCGTCCAAAACCTCTGGGGGGTACTCCTGGTTAGGCGGAGTCATCGCGCAGGCTAGCGCCAGCGCTTGGAGGACCGACTGCTCGGCCAGGCCGATACGGAGCTTGCCTGCCAGAGATCTTATGAGGTACCTAAAATTTAATTATGAAATTATTCTGAAATATTTTTCTAAAATATATATAATAATAATTGATAAGATAAAAGCCTCAATTATTGACACCATTAGAGACAAAGTTATGATTTGATTTTTTTAAAAATCAAATATCAATATTAATTTTGTTTGTGGTAATGTCCCAAGTAATGTTTTTACTAATCAAATTTTCTAAAATGATAATCACTGATATTTACTAATTAATTTTAAATAATTAAATAGATTATCCGGAGATAGCAATTATTGGCAGGTTAAAAAACTGATTGATCTAATTATTGACATACCTTCACCCCAATTATTGACACCTATACTAAGCATACCTACAATCATCTGCTTAGTCTTATTTATCCAAACTTATTATTAAGTAATCAATTTTATTAAAGTTTATTAATAATAATTTCCATAAATAATTAATTACTTTTAAAAATATAAAAATTAATTTAAAAATAATTTATTTAATCAGAAGAGTTCAAACTCTTACAGTTAATTTTTTAGATTAAAGTAAAAAAAAAGCGTGATAGCGCTGTCGAATGGCTGTCAATATGAGATTCAACTTAAAAATTATCAACTAGTTATTGACACCCATTATTTAAATATTATAAAGGAAACAATTAATTTCGATTATTCAATTTTATAAATTTTTCATATATTGTTAATTAAAAAAAAAAAAGATGATATTATTAGATAAAGAAATGAATTTAAACGGCATTTAAAAAAAATGCTTTTCTAATCAAAGTTGTTAAGAAAATAAACTGGTTTTAACTGGTGGTAACTTTATTTTTTAATAATTAATATTTAATATTAACTGACAGTAATTTTTTTCAATTTTTTAATTAATTAGAATTTAATAAAAATTTATATGATAGTTATTCTTATTACAGATTATTAAATATATTTAAAAATAATTTGGACTTTTACCTTACTACTAAAGAAGATAATTATGAATAATAAATAAGAAATTGTAATTGTTTTTAACCATACCTGGCTTCGGAGAACCTGCAAGCGACGAACAAATTCTGAATCCGGTCGACTTTCTTGCTCACCGACGCGTTTCCTGTAGACTGCGCTATTTCCTTCAGCTTAGTAAAAACCGTCCCGACGGTAAGCGCCGCGGGTTGGAACATCACTCGCTGGTTAGAGCGACTTCCTTCAGCCACTATCCCCAGGTCTCCCGCTTCCTGCGCGTCAGCTTTTATCTGAGCTGGTGTCCGACCAGTACACTGCGCGATCGCTTTGATCAAAGTTGTCTCCGCGATTCCTAACTCGACTCCTTCATAAGCTGGCGCTAACTGGTTCAAGCAAAGGTACACGCTCGCTAGTAAATCTTCCGGGGTGATCACTATCACTGATCTAAAATAGTTGGACAGAATCTCGACGATCTTTAAGCGCGAGCTGGTTTTTTCGATTACTTCCAAGGTAGCTGCCAGAGCTCTGTAAGGAGTCTTCTCTCCTTTTTTCCAAGGAGAGTCTAAAATTGGGTGATATTTTTCCTTGTCAGGTCGGTAGTATGCTTCGTCTTTAGAGTCAGCTCCTAGAGAATTTTTATCAAGCTTACTTTTTGATTTTTCGGATAAAGTAGAATTATTTTTTGATGAATTTGAAAAAAAATTACGGATGTCTTTAACTGGGGATTTAATTGGTGACTTTGTTGGTGATTCTTTAGATTCAGATTCAGAGTCTGAGTCTATTATTTTAGACCGGAATTTTTTAACTTTTGTTTTTAGTTCCAATTCTTCATCTGAAGAAGATGAAGGACTTACTGTGTCATCTGCATTTTCTACGACTTTAGATTTTTTTGGAGACTTTTTAGGAGATTTTTCTTCTAATTTTATTTTATCCTCAGATTCTTCTGAGGGTTTTGATACTTCTGTAGTTTTAGCTTCGGATTTGCTAGAATTAATTTCTTCAGCGTCCTCTGGGGTAAGGGGTAAAGCCAAGTGTCCATCTTCGTCACTTGACTCTGAATTTAATGTTCTAGGAAGTTTTTTATCATTTGTCTCTTGATCCGCTGCTCCATTCGTTGATTTTTTTTCAGGAGAAATTTGTTTTACAAAGGACAATTTATTTAAGGTCTCTTTGCTTTTGCTTTTAGATTTTTCTATAAAAAAATTAGTTAATATAAAAATTATTATTAAAAAATTCCACATCTAAAAAATTTAATAATTACAAGTATAGATTTTTAAAAACATTATTTTGTAATAATTAATTTGTTATAAAAATTCAGAGAATTTTTTAAATATTTTATGTCAGAATCATATTTTTTATGAAAAATCATTTTTAAAATGATGAACATAAAGTTAGCCGACATCTAAAAATTTTTATGATTTTTTTTTATTGAAAAACTATTTTAAAAATTTTTTTCATTTGTTAAAGAGTTCAAAAATTATAAGTGCAATTTTTTAAAAATATTTTTTAGTTATAATTTAATAAATTAAGCAAAATAAAAAAATCAAAAATGCCGGCTAATTTTATTATTATTAAAAATTATTCTTTGTTATAAAAGCTGTAAAGAGTGTGATAATTTAGATTAAATTATATTTAACTAAGTTAAGAGGTTGCAATAAAATTAAGTGTATTAAGTTAAAAAATAATTATTATAAATGTAAAATGGCAATAGTTTGGTAAAACACTAAATATTGTGATACAAATGAAATTATATCTATTATATATCATAAATATTAATTTGAACTATTTATAAAATTACCTGTCAATTTTGGTGTTTTAGATTTTCGTGCTCTCGGTTTCTTGGTTTTATTATCCGACTTTTTGGCAGGTGGAGACCTAAAATAAATTTATAAAAATAAAATATTTTATTAAGAAATTTAAAATACCAGACATTTGACAACTTTTCAATTTTTTTTTTAATAAACTAAAAAATTATTTTTAAAAAATTGCATTTATAATTTTTTTAACACATTTTTATTGCTATAATTTATTTTTTAAAAAATTTATAAAAATTGTCAAATGTCTAAATTTTAGTATTACATTTAATTAATTAATTAAATAAAATAATAAATTAAATAACTTACTCAGTACTGGTGTTGGCTTCATTATCCCGCTTTCTCTTTCCAGAGTCTTCAGCTGAATCAATGATCTTGTCACTTTTCTTTTGACTGCTGATATTTATGATATTAATGCGGTTAGAAAAATATTTTATTACTGAATTATTAATTGCTACTGGATTAGATTTACAATAAAAAACTGAACCTTGAACTATTCTTAACAATTTAAACATCCTGATAGCATAAATATTATTTTAATTTTTATGTGCAAACATACCTCGAGTCATTTTTATCCTCTGTCGTAGTTCTTTTAAAAAATGATCTGTCAAAAATAAATTTATTAAATTTTATTTTTAAATTATTCACTAAATGTCAAACAACACTTTAATATTATTTTTATTATTTATATATTTAAATATTAACATTTATTTATTAATTTATTTACTCACGTTATAGAACGCTGCGCCATTTCTAACCTCTAAATAAAGATTAATTTGGCGGGAAGTTTTTCTCCCCCCCCACTCTTCTTACAAAAAATGGCGGGAATTTTTAAATTCAAATTTTAAATTTAAAAAATTGATTAAAAATAATTTAATAAAAAAAAATTAATAAAAAAAATTACACATTCATTTTTTTTTTTTTTCAATTTATTTATTTTTGCAATCCAAACACATTATTCAATTTTTATAATAAGTTGTAATAAATATTTTCATATTAATCACTACAATATTCAAATTAATCTGATTTAAATGAAAATAAAAAAAAAACTCCAAAAATTTTATTTTTTACAAAATTAAATGCATGAATTTTAAATTCCATCTGCTATTTAATTACTTTAAATATTTTCCCTCTTTGTAATTAAATGGACAATTTTTTATAAAAAAATTACAGTCGAATCTGCAGCATTATAAAAATTAGGGGCAAGAAATTTTGATCGGATTTTTAGTAAAATTTTTTTTTGCAAATTATATTTAGCAAAAATCTAGCAGTGTCTAAATTTGTAATTCTATTTTCCATTTATTATTATTCTTATAATTATTAATAATAGTATATCATTAATTTACATATAACTCTATACATATAACTGCCAAGAAATTCCGCCTAGTCTCACAAGAAAAGTCCGAGTGAAAAAAAACCTTTTTAAATTTTGAAAAAAAAAACTACCATTATTATTATTATATTATTAATAATTAATTATTAATTAATCATCTCAATGCAATGTTAAATAATCACACGTGTAGAAAAGTAAGTTACCAAAAATTTAAGCACTCAAACTCACATTTTTTTTTTTTTTAAACACATTAATTGTATATAATGTATCATTACCATAATCATAATATATAAATTTGTATAAATGGCTATGGACTAATCGAATCCCGGAAAAAATTTTAAAGTTAGAAAAAATTTATATTATTTTATTAAAATTGTAAAATAAAAATTATAATAATTTTTTTTTTTGTAACAAAAAATGGTGGAATTATTCTTAGGGTGTTTGTTTTTCAAGAAAATTGTGGATGACATATAAAGATTAAAAAAATTTTTTTTAACAAACAAATTTGTTCAAAAAAATTGCAATTTTTGTTTTTAAATTAAAATTTTTTTTTTCTAATTTTTTTTGCCATAATTTATTTAAAAAAAAAAATGATTAAATATCTGCTAAATTTAATGACATTAAAGTTAGCAGTAATTAGAGAATTTTTTAATTTTTTTAAACAAAAAAATTACTTGAAAAAAATTGCATTTTTTTTAATTTCTACGTCAATTTTTTTTCCCATAATTTATTTAAAAAAAAAAAATTTTCAATTATTAAATATCCACTAAATTTATTATGATAATAAATTTATCAGATATTAGCTAACTAAAATTTTTTTTGACAAATAAATTATGACAAAAAATTGACATTTCAAAATTTCAAAAAATAAAAACTGCAATTTTTTAAAAATAATTTTTCGTAACTAATTAATTTATCAAAAAATAATCAAGTGACTGCTGCCGTTAATGTCATTAAATTTAGCAGATATTTAATAATTTTTAGAATTTTTTTTAACAAATAAATTATGGCAAAAAAATTGAAATTTAAAAAATAAAAAATGCAATTTTTTAAATGTAATTTTTTTGAACAAACTTGTTCAAATTTATTTTCATAAATCATTATTATAATTTTTATTGAATAATAATAATAATAAAATATAAATTTTCCATAACTAAAAAATGTTTTCCGTATTATTTTTTCCGATTACCGGACTAATCATTGAGTAATAATTATTAAATAAAATGGATCGCAATTAAAGAAGTCAAGGTAAAGTGTACCGAACATAAGGAACTTCAACATCAGCTCCATTCTTATCATTGCAGCACAACTCAAAGACCAGAGCGCGAACATGTGGATCCAGCTTCTTCTTGGAGACCTTCCTGACGACCTCAGACATGGGGAGTCCCATGCGTTCATCCCGCTTGGCAGCAGCCATGAAGAACGAGTAGAGCATGCAAACCCCCTGAGAAAGCATAGTGACCTCCAGATTGTGTTCATTCTGGAAGTAATCCAAGAATTCTTTCAGCGTGAGCTCGCCTTTAACTTCAAATCTGTCCCAGAGAGTCCACTCTGTGTCGTAGTACTTGAGCTTGGGAGCCGGGATCGGCTCTGAGAACCCAAAGAAAGGCAGTGCTAAATTAACAAACCCATTTTTGTAAAGCGCAAGATCTTTGAACCCGCGAGTTAATTTTATCAGTTCAAGACAAACTAGCCCAGCTACTACAGAAGTAGTTGTAGCAATTGCGGGGATTATTTTCCCAGCAATGAGCTTGCTCTTGTGTCTATCAGCAGGAGGGATGCGGTAGTTAGTAGCACGTAAATTAGAAGCCGCGACAATAAAGTCAATGTGGAAATTAGAGTCATCATCTTTCTCAAAGTCTTGAGGATTAATTACAAGATCTTTGAGCTCGTTTTGTTTCGGCAGCTCTTCAATTAATTGGGTGAGCCTTTCGTGGTCAACACTGCCGCTTCCGTTGGACACCTGGACCTGGGCGTCGGTCTCAGCGATCTTGACTCCTGATTTAGGCGTGAAAGGCTGGACCTCAACGGTGCTGGCAATCCGAGCGATTTCTTCCCGGTTGCGATTTGCTGGCATGCTATAAACAGCTGCTTTGAGATTAGCAGCCGCTACTACGTAGTCCAGGTGAAGAGGATCGTTGACGTCAAATTCTAGTGGCACTGGACAACGCTTGGGTCCTGACCAGAAGGGCTGGCCGCTGGAAGTCACCTGATAAAAGGATGGAAATTTAAATAGTAATTAATGAAAATTAATTTACCAGACATTTAATTATTTTTAGAGTTTTTTTTAACAGATAAATTAGAAAAATTTTTTTTGGTAAAAAAAAAATTAAAAATTGTCAAGTGTCTGCTAACTAAGTCATTAAATAATACTAGCAAACTTACAGTCACTATGTGACGAGTGAACTATAAATAAATAAAATTTTGCTTTATTAAATAATGACTTGTGTTAAATTGCCCTGTATTTTCTTAAATATTGAGGTTTTTAAAGATATAAGCTCATCCTGATGTTACACCCATCATATCAAGAGCTTTCATTTGAGTACCCACATACATTTTTATATATTTTTTTTATATATAATATATATATATATAAATATATGAAAAATTGATGTGGGCACTCAAATGAAAGGTCTCGATGAGTGTAACGTCGGGGTGAGCTTATATCTTTAAAAATGTCAGTAGTTGGCAAGATACAAGGTCATTTCTTAATTATTGACATTTTCCAAGATATAAACTCATCCCGATGTTACACTCATCGAGACCTTTCATTTGAGTACCCACATCAATTTTTCATATATTTTATATATATATGATATTTATGAAATATATAAATATATAAAATATATGAAAAATTGATGTTGGTACTCAAATGAAAGGTCTCGAAGAGTGTAACATCGGGATGAGCTTATATCTTTAAAAATCTCAATATTTCACAAGATACAAGGTTATTTCTTAATTATGTATCTAGAGATATTCTCTAATACAGCTTAAATACTTCTAATAAATTGAGAATAAAATAAAACAAATTCAAGACCTTAGCTCCCTAAATTTCCCTAAAAAAACCCATTTTATACAACTATCCATCACACAAAATTATTCTTATATAGATTACCTGGTCCGGCGGGAAATTGAACAGCAGCTGGCGAATTTGATTGTTGTACTGGTCTTGCCAGTGATTGCGCGCCCAGACAATGCAATCTACGAAGCTCTTGGGTCGCTCATCAACCAGAGCAGTCTTGACCAGCTCCAGGACTTCCAGAGGCTGGACTCCAGGAAGTTTAAGAGTTCTTTCAACGAACTGGGAGTCGTTGATGTACTGAGCAGCGTTCTCGGCATTTTGCCTGAATAATCCTTCAAAATTGTCCCTTGCCCACTGAAGAGTGTGCTCGATAGCATTCGGGAAGTTCTTCAACGTGCAGATAGGAATACTTTTCTCCGGAGGATCTTGAGAAGAGCTGTAAGACTCAGTAAGAAAAGGAACCACCACCTGAGTGTTCCCTTTAGTCCCTAAAGTTCCGGACTCCAGCAGCGGCTTTCTGTAGTAGACACACCGACGGTCCATGTAAATTCTTGCGTCAACATTATCCAGCGCGTTGGCAACTCCGTCTAAGACTTCGAAGAATTCATCGTTGTATACCTTCTCTGTTTCTGTTCCAACGCGGTTCTCGTGAGCTATAACATTCATGCTCGGGTTCATTCCTTTGACCACCCTGGCTGCAGTTGAGGACTTAGCTTTCTGGACATCAGCGGGTCGGAACAAAAATTGACGGTTCAAATTGGACTTTTCTATCAGGTCCATGTCTGTGATTGTTACGCAACCGTTCTCAGCTCCCACGCCAATCATCGCGAAGTTCTTCAGCAGCTCACAACCAATTGCTCCAGCTCCTACGACAAAGTACTTAAGTCCTCCGATTTTGGACTGGAATTTACGACCGAAGATTGCGATCTGGGAGTCGTAGCGGCAGTTTCGAGGCATGCAGTCTTCTTCAACAATCTCTGAGCGGTCTTGAGGTAAACATTCAATTGCGTCGAAGTACAGCCATTGGAATATTGGAGAAAATTTACCTATAAATAATATTTATTGTGTTGAATTATTAATTTGAATAGTTGTGTTTAATTGCTTACTCTTGATTAGCCTAAATGATGCTAATTACTAATTATTAGATTAATTATTCATTTGCTATATTTATCTTATTTATGATATAGATCTAATCAAATTATTTTTACTACATTGATTTAATATAAGGTAAAAGCCCAATTATTGACAGAGGTCTAAATATTAACACCCTAAATTATTTTTAAATAAAATCATCTGTAATAAGAATAACTATCATATAAATTTTTATTAAATTGTAATTAATTAAAAAATTGAAAAAAATTACTGTCAGTTAATATTAAATATTAATTATTAAAAAATAAAGTTACCACCAGTTAAAACCAGTTTATTTTCTTAACAACTTTGATTAGAAAAGCATTTTTTTAAATGCCGTTTAAATTCATTTCTTTATCTAAAAATATCATCTTTTTTTTTTTTTTTTAATTAACAATATATGAAAAATTTATAAAATTGAATAATCGAAATTAATTGTATGCTTTATAATATTTAAATAATGGGTGTCAATAACTAGTTGATAATTTTTAAGTTGAATCTCATATTGACAGCCATTCGACAGCG